GTACCTACAGAGGTCTGGGTGGTTCTTAAACCATAAGTGGGCAGGACTAAGCTGAAGTTGTTAATTTAAACCTGAAATGGAGTTGATCAGAAGTTGGGATATTTATGACCATTTACAGAACAGCCTCAGAATTGAGCTTCAGATCAATGTTATTGATCACGAAAGTAAGACAACTATCGGAGTAACCCCCAAATTCCACCAGTCCTAGACAATGCTCGACCCAGAACGGACTCTCCGCTCTGCTCCACACAGTATAATGTATGTATGTATCTAGTATGTATGTATCTAGTATATGCGGCTGGCAGGAAGTCCAACACAGAAACAGCCAAGGAATCCAGTCAACTTTCAAAATAAAATACTGCATGCAGACTTCTGTTCAAATTTCAAATTTCAAATGTCTGATTCAAATTGACCCACCTCCAGCAGCATGGGGTTGGTGTACTGCAAAGCTGCCATCTCCTGCTCGATCTCTGCCTGAGTTTTCTTCTTCCCGTCCACTTTCTGCTCCACCTTCCGGTCTTTGGACAATTCTCCACCGGGCGGCATCATGGGTACTTTATTCTCTGCCCAGGCCTGTAGAGAAACGAAGGAGTTCACAGTCAGTGACACAGTTTCTCCTTACATCACTAAAACACTAAATGTCCACCAGTGCTCAGTGGCAGGTGTTTACCTGTTGGAACTGTGCTGGGATCGGTTTGGCGTACGGTACTTTCTTCTGCGGGACCTTCTTGGTGTCTTTACCCATGACTTCGTCCATGCCCCAGTCGAGACCGGGGATAGACATCTCCACCTCAGGAACCGCCTCTTTACCTGGAGACAACAGTTACACCTGAGTTACACCTCAAAGTTTTTAAGACCTACAAACATGAAGAAATTTGTGACAAATCACATAGAAAGGTTTCAGTCAAAGGGTTCGTCTGGTTTGTCTGCCATGACTCAGCGTCTGTGTCTGTAAATTACTCTTCCTTCCTTTAGTTCCTGATGTTTTCTTTCTGCCATTTTCGATCAAACTGGGTTGAAAAATTATCAGAAACTTAAAAATATCTTGTGCGTTCCCTAAAGCCTGGAAACCTGCAGGCAGGGTTCCAGGATGTTCCAGGACGAGACTTACTGCTCTGTTCCTGCTCCATGGCGGCCTTCAGCTGCTCAGGGATCCCCATACCGGGGATGGAGGCCACGTTGTTCAGGTCCACATCATCTGAAACAGCCGCACAGAAACGAAAGCGATTAACGTGGCGATCCAATAAAAACACAAACACTCGAGTGTTTTTGGTCCTCCTGCGACTCACCGTACTCCATGCCGTCCTCTGACATCCCAGGAAGCAGGTTCAGGTTGTAACGGTCCCTCATCTTATCACCGGGCCGATTCCTTGTCCAGAATTTACTGACAAATACAAACAGAGAGAAAACTTGTAAATATATAAATTGTGTGTGTGTGTTGTGTGTGTGTTTGTGTTGTAATAATATTGTGTGTATGTTGTGTATATGTTGTGTACCTGGTGTGGTCGTTGGAGCCGGAGCAGAGGATGTGACCCAGCGGGTGCCAGGCCAGACTCCAGATCATCCCCTCATGAGCCATCTCCATCCCTCCAACCTCCTTCTCTACCCTGTACACAACCAGTACACAACCAGTCAACCCAGTATCAGACCAGTCAACCCAGTATCAGCCCAGCACACTGAGGACAAGCAGGGGTGGACAGAATAAGAGAGACAGGCTATGACAGTTGCTGACTGTGGGTCAGTTTATTACCCGGTGTGCCAGAAGAGCAGAGAGCCGTCAGAGCCTCCGCTGGCAAACAGACCCTCATGGACGGGATGCCAGGCCACCGCTGAGGACACACAGACAGAGTTCTTCATCATCACCACCATCACCATCACCTTCATGCTCATCACCATCATCACCATCATCA